AATTTGAGCTTTAAAATTAAAATTATGAAATAATCTGATTTATTTAATTAATTTGCTAATTTGTTTAGAAAAAAATAAAATAATTTAATTAATTCAATATAAAAAATAAAAAAATTATTTAGTTTCGGTTCTTATTCGATTCTTCGGTTCTTGGTCTAGACCCGAGAGCCAACCCAAACCCATCGATTCTCGATTCGGGTACCCGTTCGGGTATTTAATTTATGAAGAACCGCTCGGTTCGGTTCGGGACTTTGGACACCCCTAGAGAAATCTCCCCATTCTGTTTGGTTTTCACTGTTCATAATCCGTCTGGCCATGTTAAGCCAATTCGAAGTGGTTGAGCCGCGTTCGCCGAGCCATTTCTATATTCTAAATATATTTTCCCTCTTTTTTTGGTCCAAGAAATTATGTTAATTCATTGTCATTTGACTTTTTTGTACTTTACGTTTGCGTGTGAAAATGCGAAAGTAAAATAATGGCATGTTTCCATTGATTAAATAAAAAAATATAAGGATAAGACTAAGTTTAAAAAAAAAAAAAAAACCATGTGGCATGAATTCTCAAAATGGAGAGAATTTCTCTACATGCAGCAAGGAGAGATATCTCTCCATTCTCAAAATGGAGAGAATCTCTCCATTCTGCATGGAGAGAAATACGGAGAGATGATATTTTATTATTATTTTTTTTTTAAGAGTGTGTTTGTTTTTCACTTTGGTTTTTATGTGTATTGTTCATATGAACAGCACATGAATGTTCATTTTTTCAGGAGTGAGTCTTATTTTACCGTTCATATGAACTGCACTTTCCTATGTTGACTCGAAACATTTAGCAATTTATAAGAAAATTTTATGTAAGTAATGCTTGACATAAATATTTTTTTTTATACATACGCTATTACATAATCAACTATATTATGGCAGGTGCTTCTCACTAAGTTTTTTCGTACTGCTTCTATTGTGTTAAAATAAAAAAAAATTACTATGGAGCAGTGGAGTCAAAACGCATAGAGCAGTCTAAGTGAAGCGGTTGCCCGTTGAAAAACAAAACTTAGCTCGTTAGAAAAGGTCCACTCATTTTCCTACACCTTTACCTTCGAGCTCTTTTCTTTTCTCATTGCTGGTATGGGCTCGAACAGAAGCCCATAAATGACAACAAATGGACCATTGAG